TATCTTAGAAACAAAATTTACTTAAAAAGTAACTGTACATAAATATTTAATGAAGTATATATCTTTCCAATATTAAAAAAATTATAGATATTAAAAATCTATATATCTGTAGCTATATATCTTTTAAAACTATATATCTTTTCAACATTTAAAAAACTATAGAGTAAAATGGGTTCAAATGGAATAGTTAAGGATTTTAATTATTAATTTTTTACGAAAAAAAAAGATTTTTTTTTTAAGTTGTAGAGAGTATTGAGCTGTATTTAAATATATAAAAATGTAACAAATTTTTTGTAAAGTTTTTTATGAAACTTTATTTGATTAAAAAAAAAATTATTATTTCATTCTTCACTGACATACGGGTAGAATAAAATATGCAAATATAAGTGTAATTAAAACAACACTAAATTAAAAAAACAAAAAGCAATCAATAATAACAATTAAAAGAACAATCAATAATGACAATTAAAAAAATCAATCAAATCAAATAAACTTTTTTATTCTTGTGATGAGGTTGAGTCGTTTAGAGGTACTAGAGGTTGAGTTGAGTTTTTACTTGTGAGGCACTTTTTGGTGTAATAAAACTCAGCGCCTTTTACGTATCGCTTTGATATGCATGTTTGACATAGCTAAACCTTGCAATTTGAATTTTCACACCGGTACCATTCCATATTTTGACTTGCTGAAGTTTCGCCCAAAACTTTTTGGCACTTTTTGTACTTGAATTGGTTTGCAGTCAATATTTTTGTCGGACTTGTTGCTTGGTTTATTTGCTGTTCACCATTAGAGCTAAGCTTATGTTGTTATTTAGGTTGCTTTGCTGCTTTTTTGCTCTCAACATCTTTTAACCTTTCAAGTATTTTAGGTTTGTTGAGACACTCCCCTTCGAATCTTGGCACATCTACATTTTTTCTTTTTTTTTTTGTCAACATGTTGGATACAAAACAATTGTTGCAAATTGTTGCTGCTGCAAGTGATTGGGCTGATTGCAGTTGTTTTGCAACCTCTTTTTGAATTTCCTTTTGAATAGCCAGAGTTACAATATTGAAGGTTGTTTGCAGACAAGGTGACCACAACAAGAGAGTAACTAGCGTATTTCAATCATTTATTAGAACCATTTTATAAAAGCAGTAATTAAAAGTCATTTAAATTCAGTTAGAAAAATTAATTCATTGAAATTTATTCAAAATATTTATAGTTGTAGATTTATTGGTCACTTGAGACCTAATAAAAAAAAGCCCCTTTTAAGAAATAAGCTATTGTTTCTTATTTATTTACTTATTAGCGTATTTTATTCAACCTTACAACATTCCGTTTCCATTTTTAATTCATAACTTTTTTTCCCAAACAGCAAATTTAATTTTGAAAAAAGATTCTTGATCAGCCAAAAATATTGTGCCAGTAAAAATTTTAAATGATACGGAATTTAATTTCCAAGAGTTTTAAGTTCCTTTTTCAAACAAATAAAAAAATCTTATTACACATTCAAAAAACTTATAAATTTATAACAAAAACTGGTGCTAAATAAAAAAAGTCATCATATTACAAGTTTAAAAGTAAATAAAAGTTACAATTTAAAACAATAAAAATGTAAAGTAATAAATTATTTATTTTAATAATATTTATAAAACAAATGGTAATATTTGTATAATATATTAATGAGTGATATATATACCGAGATACACATTCGATATATAGTAAAAAACTATGTATGTACTCAACATTTAGTATAAAAAAAAGATGAGCATTGAACATATATAATTAATCAAAGAACAAGAGATATTTAACATATAGCATTATCTCTTTTATATGTAGTATTGAACAAGGTACACATTTGATATGCATAATCAGCCAAAAATATTGTACCAGTAAAAATTTTAAATGATACCGAATTTAATTTCCAAGAGTTTTAAGTTCCTTTTTCAAACAAATAAAAAAATCTTATTACACATTCAAAAACTTATAAATTTATAACAAAATTTTTTTTATTAAAAATAAAACTTAATATAATCTTACTCAGAAAAATATTCTCTACAATATAATCAAAAATTATTTGCAAAAAAATTACTTAATAGTTAATTAAGATCGAAAGAATAAACATTATCATAACTATTTCATTCTACCCGCTATTTCATTTTACCCTGTTTTACTCTATATCTTTTCAACATTTCTTTTAAACACATTCTTTCAATATTTTTTTAACACATTTTATGAATACACTAACTACAGCATTAAATTAAGTATTAGTTATAAGCGATTACTATATGCTATATATATATGATTACTATATTATTTTATATATATATATATATATATATATATATATATATATATATATATATATATATATATATATATATATATATTTATATATATATATATATATAAATGTAGATTTAGATCATTGTAGATTTAGATAGTCTTCCTATGCTTTTAAAAAAATTAAATTAAAAATTAAAATGATTTGTCTAAAAAAGCGACTTTTTCTGATCTTTGATTTTCCAATTTTAATAATCTTTGGTATATTGTAAATAGGCCTGCTATGGATTTTTTATTATTTATATGACCAAAAAGTCTTACATCATGTAATCTTTGTATCACAGGACATAAAACTTTTACTGTTTTATGTCCTGTGATACAAATCGTATAAATAATCATATAAATTCTAAACAAAGAATTATTAAGTATTATAAAAATATAATATAAAAATACATACGAATAGATATATCAGTATTTAAAATGAATAAATATAAATACATTGGAGGTATAAGATAAAGAAAAAACATTATTGCTTTTGTGTAATCATAATTTATGTAGTGGTGGTAATAAACTTCTCCTCAGAATTGCGTTTATTATTACCGGCGTTTTGAAGAGGCTCAGCGCCAATGCCTAGTTTATCCTGTCAGATAAACATCGTTGCTATTTATGCTTTACCCTACAATATACTGCTCCTCCATACTGCAGTAAAAAACGGCTTCACTACAAAACAGCCAAAACCCTAACCTCACCCAACCTAACTTGTAAAGCACTAATATTTTTGAAGAAATAATATGGATAGTGAGAGTAGTGAATTCAGTACCAAATGATATAACAAATTTAAAAGTTTAAATTCTTTTTAATTCAAGAGTTAAAACATAAGTCCTCTTTTTATTTAGTTTTAACTCTTGCTTCAAATTTTTTTTTTTTTTTAGTTTTTAAATGCAAAAATATGTTTCAAAGAACTAAACCGAACTGTCAGGCCCAAGTAAAATAAGGTAAAATTTAGGAAGAGAGAAAGGATAAAATGATTAAAAATATATATTGAACAGATGTTTAGAACAAAAACAAATATACTATAGTAAGCGGATAGTAAAAAATAATAATAATAATTTAGACACTGCGCATGTAAAAGAAATGTAATAAAAATAAAACTGGACACATTAGTAACTATAAATCTACAGTAAATACAAATGTTTAACATACTTAAAATAAAAATACATATGTATACATATATCAGTATTTAAAATGAATAAATATTAATACATAGGAGGTATAAGATAAAAAAAATAATTTTAGGGCTGACAATAGCTCAGTTTTTATCTTTTTTTATTTTGTGTGCAATATTGGCAGCTTTCATGACATTCCCAGTTGATTTGTGTTTAGTGATATGATCTAATTTTTAATTTTTTTTGGATGATGTAGTCTTTTAGTAAGGAGAGAAATTTGTAAAATTATTTCTTTTTTCTTTGAAACCATATTCACAACAGTATTATACAATAAAATTGTTCATGGTTGATTTACCTACCAATAATTGTGAAACAAATTCACAGGAAGAATATCATTTTTATGAAAATTTTATTTACTCTCTCATAAGTTTATATTTCTTATTGCCAAAGTATGTTTCTGCTATAACAATATTTTATGAACTTAATGTAAACACAACACACTATTGTTTGTAAATGCATCTTTGATTGATCTACTGTATCAATATTTATTATGTGATTGATCAACTGTATCAATGTTTGTTATGTGATTGGAAACTTTTCCACAAATACTGCTATTATGATACATTCACAAACTATAATACATGATACATTCACAAACTATGATACATTATGATACATTCACAAACTATGATACATTATGATACATTCACAAACTATGATACATTATGATACATTCACAAACTATGATACATTATGATACATTCACAAACTATGATACATTATGATACATTCACAAACTATGATACATTATGATACATTCACAAACTATGATCCATTATGATACATTCACAAACTATGATACATTATGATACATTCACAAACTATGATACATTATGATACATTCACAAACTATGATACATTATGATACATTCACAAACTATGATACATTATGACACATTCACAAACTATGATACATTATGATACATTCACAAACTATGATACATTATGATACATTCACAAACTATGATACATTATGATACATTCACAAACTATGATACATTATGATACATTCACAAACTATGATACATTATGATACATTCACAAACTATGATACATTATGATACATTCACAAACTATGATACATTATGATACATTCACAAACTAATAATTCAAAAATAGTAAAATAGTAAAAAGTGTTAATTACACATGTATGAGGAAAAGCAAATAAGAAATTAAAAAAAAAAAAAAATTCATCTGTTAAATTTATTTTATTTTTTTATAATAATGTTATTATTTAACTGAAAAAAAAAAAATTTATTATTTGACATTTATTTTGTTTACACGCTTCAGACCAAAAACAAGAAACAAGCAAAATAAGAACAGACATGAATCCATGGAACAGACATCCATGAATGAATCCATGGAACAGATTTTTTTGCCAAATGTCAAATTTTTTTATTACTCTGAATAACTTTTATAAATGAACTAAATACTCTGAATATTCCTGGTTTAAGCAATTTTAGCATCATCATGTAATCAATATACAAATTTTAATGGTTGTATTTTATTTTATAGTTGTGCACTTGGAGCCAGAAATGGTTTGTACGAAATGATTCAAGAATACATGAATGAAAATGAAAGACTCAAGTAAAACTATAAACATAAACATAAAATTTTAGTAAGATCAGAGCATAATGTGTGTGTGTGTGTGTGTGCATATGTGTGTGTGTGAGTGCGCGCGTGTGTGTGTGTGTGTGTATAAACACATATATGTATTATGTTCTGTGTGTATACACACACACACACGCACACACATATATATCATTAATTTTAAATTTTATATTCCTTCTAGTTAATCTAAGTTTGAAATATTAAAATATACATTATTTAAGCATATATTATCAAAGTATAGATTATCAAAACTAAAAATTGTTAAAGACATACATTACATGTAGTGTGGTTTCCAAAGGAGCACATTTTATTTACTAGAATAGACAGATCAGTACAATATACAAAATCTTTTTCAGAAAAGTTTTTAGAACAAATCATCAATACATGATTAATGCATTACTGATACCATACCAAAGCACGATTCAATCTTATTAAAAATTCAATAATCTATTTTTGATTCTTAGAGCAGAAAATATGAAGCTTTATCATACCAAGTCATTATCACAGGAAAAAAGGGTTATTAAGATTAAATTTTTTCTTAATATATTGTTTGTTTTTGTTATATATTTATGCCTATATCAATATTGTTATCAACATATATCAACAGTCTATGTCAATATTGTTTTTGTTTTCTTATATTTCAAAGGATCAGGTTTGGTTAAATGCTAACGTTAATGCAAATGAAATTTTATCAAAGAACATACATTGTATTTTTTTTTTTTTATAGTTATTTTTATATTAAATTTATTTTATCTATTAATTCACCTGCACTATGAATAAGTACTTATTATTTAGTTGTTGATTTTAAAATTGATAAAATGTAATTTTAAAACAGTATTAATAAAAGCTCTAAAAAAATGTTGAAATTTTATTTCATTCTTTTATATGAAGCATTGGGTCAGAATAATACAATAATACTTCCGAATATTCATCACGGTTATCCAAATATTGTATCAAATCCAAATATTGTTTCAAAAAATCAAGATGTTACAGATTCTGAAAAATTATTACATGAAAGACGGAGCAATAGACAAGTTGATGATATTAATGCCCTTCAGTTGTCATATAATAAAATGAAATTACATGGTATACAAACATCTAACCAAGATGAAGGTAAAAATTGTGTTTAATTTGCTTTTAATAATATAGTAAAATATATAATAGTGAAAATCTTTAAACTAAAAGGTCATTAGCTATAAGCAACAGTGTAGTGGTATATGCTACACTATAGTGAGTTTTTTTTTCAATAAAAAAAGTGCATTTTTTCAATGAACGTTTAAATTCTGTTTAAAAGAGAAAAAAATGTTTAAATTTTGTATATACTATAATAAAATGATAATACTTACAATTAAAAAAAAGATTCTCTTTTCTTTTTTTAAACAAAAATCTATTAAAGTAAAAACACAGTCAAAACCATAGAGTTTAAAACACAGTATGCAGTCTAAGTCCATAGAGTTTAGAACACCATACCATACATGGGTTTAGAACACCATACATACATACTGAGCTAGAGAGTTTAAAACACAGTATGCAGTCAAAAGTTATAACCCTAATACACAAGTTAATTGGAAAAAAAAAAAATTGCCTTCCAAAAATCTGGCAAGCAATTATCACATATTGGTATCATAATGCAGTATGACAATTAGTTTCAAAAAACATGTTTTTTTTTTAGAAAAAATGATTGTTTTTTGACCCTGATTGAAATTAAAAAACGATTTTTAAAATTATGAATTAATCACTAATAATTAATAGATAGTAAAAAAAACCCTGATAAATGAGTAATAAAAAGTTTGCAATACTAAATTTTAATTACTAAATAAATAATTTTATACTAAATATATAAATTTCAACCTAATTTTACTCCTTTTTTTTCTATAAAAGTTCTTTAAAAACTTTATAAAAACTATCCCAAAAATATTTCTTGACTTCTAAATGATATCTGTATAAATCTCAAAGATATCTATATAAATATATAGTAAAACAGATCTCTATGGATCTGCCATATTATAAATAACTGACACAAATTTGCATAATTAATGAATATATTTATAAACATAGACAGTATTATGCTCAGTATTATACAAAATAAATCTCTTTACTCAATAAGCAACAAATATTAAGATTTGCCAGTTGACTAGTAATTTTATTATTAGTCAACTGGAAAAAAATTATGTCAATGACAAACATAAATAAATAATGGTATCAATGGCAAATATAAATAATGTGTAAATATTAAAAACTATTTTTTAAAAATTGAAAAGTTAAAAGGTTTGTTGAGTTTTAACGTAAAACTCAAGCTAGGTTATGTCTCAGATTGAATTCTACTCAATTTGAGACACAACCAAGCTGGAGTTTTAAAAAAGACCGATAAATTCTACTGTTCACCTTTATATTGATTGAGTAACTGAGTGAACTGAATTACTACTAATGGTTTATATAAAAATAAAAAAAATGAATATTTAAAAATAAATAGCCTCTGTATAATTATTGATATAGCTAATAAAAATATTGTATAACCATATCTTTTCGATTGCGCAGGAAAATATTGTATATTTATATCTTGTTGATTCAATGCGTGGGTATTGCTTTTGTCTCTATTTTTATGACTGGGCAACTCATTCTATTATCTCCTAATGAGGGTACAGCTCTAAAACTCAGTTTTATAGTTCTGAGGCCGGCTGGTAGTCAGGTTTCCCGAACTCTGTGGTAGCTCTCAGAGAGGCTGATTCCATCAACAGCCGAAAAATATCAGAGTACTAACAGTGCCATGTTGCGCATGGATGGTGTCCCTGTTTGTACTTTTGGTGTGCATTGCAGAGGCCACATTTGGAGCCCTTTGTTACGGCTTAGGGTTTATTAATAGTAATGAGGCTATTGCTTAGTTGTTAAATAGTGTACTGAGTACTATCTATACTTGAGTCAAGTTCTTTATAAATTTAAAATGACTAAAGTACCTAAAACTAAAAAACACAAAAAACCATCGTCATCACCAAGTTCTCTAAACCTATCATTTACTAATATTCGTGGTCTTCAAAGTAACTTTTCTTCTGTTGAGTCTTATCTCTTGCAAAGTTTACCAGACCTACTTGCTCTTTGTGAGACTAATTTGAGTTCGGCTGTCCCATCTTGTGATCTTAATGTTGATGGTTATCTTCCTTTAATTCGTAAAGACTCCAATAATCACATGCTTGGCCTGGGCATCTACATTCGTAAGAACTCACCCATTTGTCGTGAAACTAGGTTTGAATCTACAGACTATTCATTTATGTGCTTTCGTTTAGCACAACTTCACTCTATCGCCATTCTCTTTGTTCTATATCGCTCTCCTTCATCCCAAGATTGCACTATTCTTGATGTTATTTCTAATCAAATTGACCAAGCCCTCTCTCTTTATCCATCGGCCAATATCGTCGTTGTTGGTGGCTTTAATGCCCATCACACCGATTGGCTTGGCTCTAGTGTCAGTGACTCTGCTGGCGTTAAGGCCCTCAACTTTTGCCTTTCACAATCTCTAACTCAAATAGTCAACTTTCCAACTCGTTTTCCAGACAACCCTAATCATTTACCTTCTCTACTCGACTTATGTCTTGTTTTGGATCCTAGTCAGTGCTCAATTTCTCCACATTCACCCTTAGGTACTTCTGATCACGGTTTGATCTCTCTAAAACTATTATCAAGTTCTTCTACTTCATCAGAATCCCCCTATCATCGTACCACATACAACTACCTTAAGGCTGACTGGGACTCTTTCCGTGATTTTCTTCGTGATGGCCCTTGGGTAGAAATCTTTCGTCTTCCTGCTGACAAATGTGCTTCTTACATAATTTCGTGGATTCAGGCTGGCATGGAATCTTTTATTCCCTCTCGACGATTCCAGGTCAAGCCTCACTCTTCCCCTTGGTTTTCCTCACATTGCGCTGCAGCAATTTCTAATCGAAACCGTTACTTCCATATCTATCAGCAAAACAATTCTCCAGAAAACAGACATCTGTTCACTATCGCCATAAACCATTGTAAAAAGGTTTTGTCTGACGCCAAAGCTCGCTATTCCCAGGTCATTAAATCTCGTATCTCATCACAAAAATTAGGCTCTCGAGACTTCTGGAGAATCTTTAACAGTATCAATAATAAGGGCAAATCTGTTATTCCTTCTCTTTTGTATGGTTCAGACTTTGTCACCCCACCTAAAGACAAAGCTGAATTGTTTGCTAAGAACTTTTCATCAATATCATCTCTTGATTCCACTAGTTGCGTTTTACCTGACATAGCCGTCAAACAGGTTGATCCCTTGCTTGACATTCGCATCACTTCAGCTTCTGTATCTAAAGTAATTTCCTGCTTAGACTCTTCAACAGCTTGTGGTCCTGACAACATTCCTGTTGTAGTCTTGCAGAGGTGTTCTCCGGAGTTTTCATCCATACTTTCTAAACTATTTAACAAGTGCTTATCAGAGTCTTGTTTTCCATCATGCTGGAAAGCAGCATCTGTTATCCCTATTTTCAAAAATTCCGGAGAGCGATCTGATTCATCTAACTACCGTCCCATTAGTCTTCTTCCTGTCATAAGCAAAGTTTTTGAATCTTTAATCAACAAACACTTAATCTCTCATCTTGAATCAAATAACTTACTTTCTGATCATCAATATGGATTTCGGTCTTCTCGTTCTACAGCTGATGTGCTAACAGTAATAACCGATAGGTTTTACCGTGCATTAGATAGAGGTGGAGAGGTTAAGGCTATCGCACTTGACATTTCTAAAGCTTTTGATAAAGTTTGGCATGCTGGTCTTCTCCATACGCTTTCTTCTTATGGTGTAGCTGGTAACGTCTTTAAGATTATTGAGTCCTTTCTTTCCAATCGTAGTATAAAAGTTGTCCTCGATGGACAACACTCTTCTTCACATCCTGTAACTTCAGGGGTTCCTCAAGGTTCAATCCTTGGCCCTATACTCTTTTTAATTTACATTAACGATCTTCCAGATATTCTCACATCTAAGGTGGCATTATTCGCTGACGACACTACCATTTACTCTTGTCATGATAAGAAGCCTACACTCTCTGATTGCTTGGAGGGGGTATCTGAGCTTGAAAAGGATCTCACTTCTGCTACAGCATGAGGCTCACAGTGGCTGGTGAACTTTAATTCAGATAAAACTCAATTTTATTCGGCCAATCGTTATCGTAATAATTTAGATCTTCCTATATTTATGAATGGTAATGTACTAGATGAGTCATCTACCATTCATCTTCTAGGATTAACTCTTACTTCTGATCTTTCTTTTAAACTGTATATCAAATCCATTGCAAAATTAGCATCTGCTAAGGTTGCATCTCTTTATCGAGCTCGACACTTTCTTACTCCAGGTTCTATTCTCTATCTCTATAAATCTCAAATCCGTCCCTGTATGGAATACTGTTGCCACATCTGGGGCGGATCTTCTAATGATGCTCTTTCTCTTTTAGACAAGGTGCAAAAACGAATTGTAAACATCTCCAACCTTTGTCACATCGTCGTAATGTTGCTTCTCTTTCTCTTTTCTACAAATACTATAATGGGCACTGCTCTAAAGAGCTAGCGTCCCTTGTGCCATCTACTAAAATTCATTCTCGTGTTACTTGCCATTCAATTAAGTCTCATCCTTTTTCTGTGACTGTTCCTAAGTGCTTCAAAAACTCTTATTCTTCTAGTTTTTTTCCTCGAACATCAGTTCTTTGGAATTCGCTTCCTTCATCTTGCTTTCCTGATTCATATAATTTGCAATCTTTTAAGTCATCAGTCAATCGTTATCTTGCTCTACAGATTTAGTCTTTTCTCTTCCAGTAACTTCCAACTTAGTGGTTGCTTGCAGCCTTGTTGGAAGTGAAGATGTTAAAAAAAAAAAAAAGAGATAGTGTTGTGTGAACCATAAGACAAAAAACTGTTAAGTGTTGTAAAAAATACTTTTAAACAAGTATTTAAATAGAAAAACCTGGCCCAAAAATTATTGAAATTACAAATACAAAATACTTTCAATTATTGAAATTAAAATCATGTACAATTTAAAACAAAAGCTAAATCTAATTTATAAGTTTTGGTTTTTAGCAACAACAATTGTTTAATCTGATAACTGATTTCAGCGCATCATAACAATTAAGGCTTCAACTGGAGAAGAATGGAACAGTTACATTAACAACACTGAACAGTTTTTTAACAATGGATATTGTTTCAAACACGCTAAAAAATGTGTAGAAGCCATCTTTAAATTATTTTAAACACTCAATAGTGATTGCTTACTGGTAGCTAGGGTGTAGTTTGCTTTTACCGATTCAAGTTTAAAAAAATCATTTCAGATGTCAAAGTTTTATTAGCATTTGCCAAGCATTCAGCTAAATTGAATTTTTGTCTCTTTCCTGATAAGGTTTACTAGGTCAGTTATTTTTTTCCTGTAAAATCACAATTTCATTTAAGGATGATATGCAGTTGCATGGATTCTGGATGAACTGTTTTATTCAAATAAATGTGAGAAGTGCCAATCTATGTTTGAAATTAATCCCTCAATTAAACTTTTACTGTAATGACTTTTGGTATAAGCATCACAATTTTCTTTCAAATTTGTTTAACCTTTTGTAGAAAGAATCCTAGAAAACAAAAAGCTCTTCATTGAAGTTTATGCAGAGCATCTTAGAGCTATAAGTTATAAGTTGTTTTAACATAAAAAAACTTTTTTTTTTTAATAATACTATATTTAAAAAAAATCAACATAACTTTTGAGCCCTTTTGAGTTTATGCAAGTTTAGAGTTGTAAGCAAGATTTTGAAATTTTTTTTGATTTTTCTTAATTTGAGACTTTGACCAATGACTGTAAAGTTGTTATAACATTCTTCTAATACTTTTACCTCTACTGGTTTGAAGCTATTTCAATTCATCCATTATTTGGGGAGCATCTCCTTTACTCTTTGTTTCTAAAAGTTGAAATAAGGCGTCGTATGTAGAATTTCATTGAGTCCCCTAATGTTTCAATAAAACTAGTAATTTTCTCAACATGCTTTTGTACTTTGGCTGACAAGTGATCACAGTTTCGAGCAATCGGTCATTGCACCCTTGTATTTTTGTTTGTATAAACTCACACCATTTTTAAGTAATTTAATAAAGTAGTCTTATTGCATTCAAAGTAATTTAATAAAGTAGTCTTATTGCATTCACAGTAATTTAATAAAGTAGTCTTATTGCATTCACAGTAATTTAATAAAGTAGTCTTATTGCATTCACAGTAATTTAATAAAGTAGTCTTATTGCATTCACAGTAATTTAATAAAGTAGTCTTATTGCATTCACAGTAATTTAATAAAGTAGTCTTATTGCATTCACAGATGTCAATAACCAGCTTATTATTATTACCATTTTGTTAACATTTTTTTTTTAAAATAGAATATCACCCATAACTAAATATATAAATAAAATATTTACACTGTTACACTATTAGATAATTTAAAAGTGTTTTGATTAAGTTGCTTTGATAAAAATCATGACAATAATAAAAATGCAAAAGTTTGCAAAACTGCATAAAAATGGACCAATGACTGTAAACATAGGCCGACGTGTCGAAGTTTTAAATCTTTGGTTTCAAGATAAGACTGTCTAGAAAAGAAAATTGTTGAATATATGATAAAATAAATAAATAGTATGTAGTAGATATGCAGGATGTAGTTTTAAGGTGTGGGGCTGTTTTGGTTGGAATGCCACATGTGACTTTGTAAAAATAGAGGAAGTAATAATAAAAGTAGTTTACTTGTACACTTAAAAAATCATGCCACACCTTCGGAAAGATGATTTAATGGGAAGCCATTTATTTTTTCAGAAGAAAATTACTTAAAGCTTAAATTCAAAACACATTTTACAAAAAAATTTATTTGACTGAGTTCGAGAACGATCAAATATTGAATAGAATGATTCTCCCTCCCCAATCACAAGATCTCTCTTCTATCGGATTTTTTTGGGAAGTAATGTCAAAAACAAATGTATAATATATTTCGATGCATAAGATATGGAAAAAACTTACTAGTTTTTTCCACATCTTTTGCATCGAAATCATCGAAAATTGGATAAGTTGTTTCTCTCTAAATAGTAAGTAAAATTCTGATATCTCATATTGAAAAGTATGACCATTCGAATAATTATGGAAGGTAGTATATATATATATATATATATATATATATATATATATATATATATATATATATATATATATATATATATATATATATATATATATATATTTATATATATATATATATATATATATATATATATATATATATATATATATATATATATAATTATACAAGTTTATAAAAATTAACTATACTAATTAACTATACTGCAGTAAAATTTATTTATTTTATGTACTTAATTATTTAACTTTAGTTTATTAATTTCACTAGTCAATAAACATCAATGCAAGAAAATACAAAATATTGATGATAAACAGCAATGCAAGAGAGTAAAAAGTATTGAAAATAAACAACTATTCAAAAGACTACAAAAGATTGAAAATCGATTGTGCAACAGGTGATTTTGAATCTTGTTAAATTTATAAAATTTAACAACTTTTTGTGAGAACTAATTTGTAACATTTAGCTTTAAAAATGTTTCTGCTGATAAACCTCCCAGTTACGCGGCTAAGTTTGCTTTCCGTCAAGAAATGTGTCGAAATTCAAAACGTCAATTTCTTAAAGATAACATCTCGTTACCAGAAAGCATAAACACTTCTTCAATAAGTGTTTGTTACCCAAATCATATGGGTCTATATTATAATGGAAGTAAATCAGCTGAAGGTTTGTACACTTTTATTTGTTTTTTGTTAACTTCATAAGTTCGGTTTTTTGCTATTTTGTTTTACGCTTTTTTTTTTTTTTAAAGTTGTTTCTATCTTTGCTGTCTCATTTTGTTCTCATCGTTGCTCAATGTTATTGTCGTTGTTTAACATTGCTTCTGTCATTGTTTAATGTTATTTTTGTCGTTGTTTAACATTGCTTCTGTCATTGTTTAATGTTATTTTTGTCGTTGTTTAACATTGCTTCTGTCATTGTTTAATGTTATTTTTGTCGTTGTTTAACATTGCTTCTGTCATTGTTTAATGTTATTTTTGTCGTTGTTTAACATTGCTTCTGTCATTGTTTAATGTTATTTTTGTCGTTGTTTAACATTGCTTCTGTCATTGTTTAATGTTATTTTTGTCGTTGTTTAACATTGCTTCTGTCATTGTTTAATGTTATTTTTGTCGTTGTTTAACATTGCTTCTGTCATTGTTTAATGTTATTTTTGTCGTTGTTTAACATTGCTTCTGTCATTGTTTAATGTTATTTTTGTCGTTGTTTAACATTGCTTCTGTCATTGTTTAATGTTATTTTTGTCGTTGTTTAACATTGCTTCTGTCATTGTTTAATGTTATTTTTGTCGTTGTTTAACATTGCTTCTGTCATTGTTTAATGTTATTTTTGTCGTTGTTTAACATTGCTTCTGTCATTGTTTAATGTTATTTTTGTCGTTGTTTAACATTGCTTCTGTCATTGTTTAATGTTATTTTTGTCGTTGTTTAATGTTGTTTTAATTTTATTTTAGGTTTTAACAATAAAACCGATCAACTGCACTTCGATTTAGAGTTTCTTTTAAATCAAATCCGAGCAGAAGTTTTACAGAATAAAAAAAATACAGGAAATTAATAAGAAAATAAGTAATAAAAGAAAGTATGTTTCTTAGCGGAAAACAATGTAATTTATGACAAATATTTTAAAGATATTTATATTTTTAATTGATAAAACTTAATTGTAAATATTAAAAAAATAAAAGTTTATTTAAAAATATTATCAAAATAATTTTTTATAATCTTGAGTTTCATTTGGATGTTCAAATTCAAAAACACAGCAGTAATTACACCAATCCCCGTCTTGTTACTGTTACTCGTTCTTAGCTCTGGTACTCAGCTGTTTAATTACGCTACAGTTATAATAAACATGTCTTAGCTTATAACCGTAGCCCTACTTCTAAATATGGTAGTGGTGTAATTTTAGAACGCTCACTTTATAAGCGAGAAGTTTCGAATTCGATCCCCACCACGGTAGTACCGCGCTAAACTTATTTCTCCACGCAGCGACCTTGTTCGTCAAAGTTAATGTTTTGGAGTTATAGAGTTAAGAGAGGGTTGTAACTAGAGTTAAAAAGTAGCCTTCTTGACTGTAGTGGCATCCTTCGTTATGGGGAGGTGAATTAAAATTTAAAAGAAATCCCGTGTTTTAGATTTAAAGAGTTGTAACAACGGTTTAAAAAAACAAGAGTTGTTTTTTTGACTGTAGTAGCCCTCGGTCTTAGGGTGGTAATTGCAATCAAAAAAAAAAAAGATGGTGGTCAACTGATATCGGTTTAATTTTATTACAGGAAAATATTTTTTAACTTTTTTTAAACTATTTTCAAAATATTTTGAGCTGTATTTGAGTATATACATATCAAACTAATTTGTTTTTAGTTTTTTAAAAAACTTTATTCAATAAATAAAAAAACTATTTCTACCCTTACATTTTGCGGTGAATAAAATAAGCAAGTCGACGGGGAAATAAAAAAACATATTATTTAAAAAGCAACCAATGATAATAATTAGAAAACAAGAAACAGCAACAAAATAAAACAAAAAAATTTATTAATGTGATAATGTTAAGTTATTAAATGGTTCAGGAGGTTCAGGTTTTTACACTTAACTTGGTTTGCTTCTGCTGTTCTTGGTGGAGATGCTGTTACTGTTTGATTTATTTTCTGCTTTTCATCGATGATGCATATGTTGTTTTCTAGCTTACTTAGCTGCTTTTTTTCAGCATTAAGATTACTCTGTATTGTATAAAGTTAAGTCTGATTTAAGTTCAACCACTAATGATTATGAGTCATTGTGCATTGAACTAGTTAATAAAACCTCCAAAAATATAACTATCCATGCTTTGGATAGACCTCCTTTAGGTTCTATTAAAGTGTTGGACAGACCTCTTTCAGGTTCTATTAAAGTGTTTGAAGACCACATTAAAAAAGTCATTAAAACAATTCTATTAAAAAAAAACTGTCGACATGGTTGGTGACCTGAACCTCAGTATTTTGGATTATGACTCAAACATAATCATTAAACAATTTTTTAACGTCATTTTTGAAAATATCTACATTTCTGTCATCGATAAACCTACTCGCATAACCAACAAAAGTGAAACTTCGATAGATCAAATCATCACCAATGACTTCATAAATATAAAGGTAAAAACAGGAATATTTAAAACAGATATTTCTGATCATTTTCCCATATTCATCGTTGCCAAAAAATATATTAAAATTGATAACCAAAAAAACAAAAAAATTAAAGAAATAAAAACAAGAATAGTAAACGACTCTTCAGTCAACCACTTTCATGACCTTTTAGCAAGTATTAACTGGGTTGACATGTTATTGAATCTAAACGCTGATAAAGCCTACGATATATTTATATTAGAGTATTGTAAATATTATGACAAAGCATTTCCTGAAATTACAAAATTAGTTAAATCAAAAACGTTATTAAATCCTAAGATAACTAAGGGTATTCTTAAATCTTCTAAAATAAAACAACGATTATCTAATAAATTTCTTAAAGGAAAAACCCTATATAATGAAAGCAACTATAAAAACTACAAACGACTTTTTGAGTCAATTATAAAAAGATAAAAAAACTATTATTTCGATCAGCTAAAAAAGCATTTAAAAGACCCACAAAGTAGATGGCGCATTATCAAGGAAATCATTGGTAAAAATAATCCAGAGAGAAATACTTTTCCAAAACTTCTTTAATTCAAAAATAACTATGCTATAAAAAAAGAATTAGTGGCTGAAACACTTAATGAATTTTTTATTAATATTGGTCCGTCCTTAGCATCAAAAATTGAAACCTCTAAGATCAACTTAGATGCATACTTAGTCTCTAATAAAATATAATATTATCTCTAATAGAATATAATATTATCTCTAATATTATGCTTAACGATATTCTAACTGAAGAAGAATTATTATGCGTAGTGTCTTCGATTAAGCCCAAAAAAAGTATAGGTGTTGACAATATAAATGGTAACATCATTATAAATTCAATCAAACTTATTACAATCCCGCTTTTTATTTGGATTTAAATCTTGTCATTCTACTGATCACGTAATCTTACATCTTGTCCATGATATATTTAAAGGTTTTAATGAAAAAAAATTTACTTTAGGTGTTTTCATAGATCTAAGTAAAGCCTTTGATACAGTCGATCATTTAATTCTTTTGTCTTACTTATTTACTATTTAATAGTTACTTATCTAATAGGAAGCAATATATTTCTTACGATGGTGGTAAAACAGATAACATGATCAAGACATGCGGTGTTCTCCGCATGTCTTGATAATTTATGTCAATGACTTGTATAAGTTTTCTAATATTTTAAACACAATTTTATTTGATGACACTAATTTATTTTATTCTTATGAAGACATTAATATTTTATTCTTAACAGCTAACAAAGAACTTGATAAACTAACCCAATGGTTTAAATCCAATAAATTATCCTTAAACATCGCTAAAATCAAATACACATTATTCCATCATGTTCATAAAAAATAAAATATTCTATTGAAACTTCCAAATCTTTTTATTGATAAAAATAAAATAAAAAGGGAAATATCTTTAAAATTTTTAGGCTTCTCGATGAAAATATTACGTGGAGAGAACATATAGGTGTAATTAAGAATAAATTTTCTAAAAATATTGGAATATTGTATAAAGCTAAACAGTTCTTAAACCAATCTTGTCTTAAATAACTATTGTCACAAACTAAGTAAACTTCTCTGCAAACAAAAACATGCCATTAGGATTATTACAAATGAAAATCACTTCTCTCATACAAAAATACTTTTTAGCAAACTTTATATTCTAAATGTTTTTAAATTAAATCTCTATCATATTCTTATATTTATGTTTAAACTTGATAAAAAAATGGCACCACTTTTATTCAACTCTATATTTAAAAAAAATAAATCATATATACAGCAAAAGATTTTCTAATAATAACTTTACTCAATCCAAAACCTATTATTCTGCCACTAAATACTCAATCACAAACCAAGGTCCTAAATTATGGAATACACTTTTAAATAATGATCTTAAAACACTTTCTTCACTTAATCAATTTAAAACTAAACTTAAGCAAAATCTTTTACTAAACGACAATGAGCTAAATTTCTTCTAAAGCGTTTAAATGAGAGTACTATTATTAATAATTTTCAGCATAACAATTATGTTTAACAATTTAATTTTAATAATTGTTTATTACTAAGATTATTTATTCAGATCCATAAATATGATGAATAATATTACTGGCTTTTTTTTTTGTTTATTATTTTTTTTTTTGTTTTGTCTTTTTTGTTTGTTTTTTCTTCTGTTTTGCTGGTCTTTTTTTTTGGTTTGTTATTTTATTCCCTATTTAAAATATATTTTTAGAAACTTTAACGGTAAAAAAAAAATTTAAAAGATATGTAACTTACATTATTACGGTTTTTATAAGCATTGTAACTTACGGTATTTATTACGGGGCTTGGTGATAAGACAACTACAGTTTTCTTTTTGCCCCGGTCATATTTTATTTTTATTCATGTTCTTTGGTATTGTAATTACTTACAGCGACGAAATATATATATAAAAAAAAAAACATAAAAAAAAATTAAAAAAATTATACGAGGTAAACTATACCGCTGTGGGTTATTGATTACACGAGGTAAACTATACCGTTGTGGGTTATACGTTTTTTGTGTGTTTAATGCACCAGCAAGAGCTTTCATGACGCCCAGGGTATAGCTGCAATAAATTTCAATGGAGTTAAAATTAAAAGCATATTTAATTATACATCTGGTTTTATATCTATAGTTACCGCATTTGAATGATTAATGTAGAATTGTGATTAATGTAGAATTGTGTCATCTCACGAGCTTTCGTATTTTGTGAAACCGATTTTTGATCTTTCAAATAGTTGAATGAGAATTTTTAATAGTTTTTACAATGTCAATTTTAGATTGAATTTATTGAATGCATTTCCAGGTTCATTGTGATGCCATATTGCAATCATTTCTGTCTGGCAGAACTGCAGTTAAAGAAAATGATTTCTATATATATATTTTTTTATTACAATAAACAATAAAATTTATACATATTAAATTTAATATTGATGAATGAATGCAACAACTAAGTTTCCTTTGCTTACGTTTGACATTGCTACACCCAAAGCAGCATCATAACCGGTGTTCACGGTAACCTCTCTTCGAATGAAAGTTGCTGAATTCAATCAGGTTTGTAAAGCGGCCTTTGCAATTTAAAAATCCATGTTGAGAGTTTGAAATTAGATTGAGTGTTGCATAATCTTTTATTTGATAATTTATTTCATTACTTTGTATGGTACAGAGCTCCGAGTAATATTCTTCAACTTTGATTCCTTTTTTGAAGATAGGCGTGACGTTGATTTGCACTAAAAACTTTGAGCATGCACAATTTGAATAAACGTCTAAAAATAAATGCAAAGATCGTGGATGTCGTCGCAGTTTTTTTAGTGCACGTAGATGTTGCTGAAAGAAGTTTAAGTGTATAATTTAACTGCATGCATTCCAGCTAAGTTCATGCTGGATACCACATGAAATTTATAGGGCTAATGGATTCATCTGAATTCAAGTTTAAATTCGAGCCAATTTATATCTGTTTTCATAACCTTGACCAGAGTATTTCTGCAAACCAAGTATAACTATTATTATTAGTTTCAAATAAGATTACCAATACCTGTTCCCTTTTTTCTACTCATGTTTTGAAATAAAGAAAGGGTTTTTTTTCCTTTCAGCTTTCTTGTTGAAGTCATCTAATGGGTGATACAATACAAAAAAAGTTACCCGCAAGATTGTGTAATAAATTGCAATCGTGCAATTTATTACGCAATTATTAGAGTATATAGTTATTATTATAACTTTATTATTATAACTTTAATATTATGAAATAACTTAATAACAAAAGAAAATGGCTGGCGCAAGAAGAAGGCATAATAAGCTTTATCATAGAGCCCCATTACAAACAAATTTAACAAGTCCATAATATATATATATATATATATATATATATATATATATATATATATATATATATATATATATATATATATTATATATAATATATATATATAATATATATATTATATATAATATATATTATATATATATATATATACATATATATATATATATATATATATATATATATATATATATATATATATATATATATATATATATATATATATATATATATATATATATTATAAGAAGTTAAGAAACAAAAAGGAACAAAAAGATTGAAAGTGAAGTTAGTTAAGAAAGAAATAAAATGTATAAACATATACGTGTATATACATACGCATACATGTATTTACATACTCATAAGTGTATATACATACACAAACATATATACTAACACAAACACACATACATATGCATATATATATATATATATATATATATATATATATATATATATATATATATATATATATATATATATATATATATATATATATATATATATATGTATATATATATATATATATATATATATATATATATATATATATATATATATATTGCCTCGTATTGTTGTTTTTATAATAAAAAGAATAAAATTCCATTCACAACAACATAAAATATATAAAAGTTTTAAAATAAATGTATAACAGGGTCAATGACACCTGGGTAACCCCGGTGTCATTGACCCTTTTTTTTTTTTCTTAAGAAAAATATGGATATAAAGGACTTTTTTCAGAATTTGATGATTGTGCCCCCTCTCCCCCACTTCAAAACCCGTGTCGTCGGCCGTGTATAATAATTTACAGATAGATACTGGATATTTAAAGTAAATAAAAATTATATATATTTTCAATAAATATAATATTCAAAAAAAATATTTTTCAAAAAAATATGATAAAGACACCGATAATTTTAATAATACAAGTTGGTTTTCTTCTTATTTTTTGTTTTTTAGTTGTTAACATGTTAAAGTTGATAAAGTTAATGTATCGCTATAAATTTAGTTTGATAACCTTCTAAAAAAGACTGGCAATATTTAGAGTATTAAAATCTATATTTACTAAATTAAATTTTAAATTAGCTTTGAATTGCGAAATTGCAGGGTGGGGAGTAGGCGCGCCCGAAGTCCTTCCATCGCCCCCCTTCCCCATGGCTTTAGCCATGTGTTCTTTCCATTTCTAGTTAATGAAACATTTGTTGTCAAGTAGGTAATTCAATTGTATTTGATATATATATCCGGCCGGATACGAATATACCGGATATAAATTTATATATCCGGCCGGATATATCGAATATGTTAAATATTGTAGGGACGAGGTATCCTCTACTGTTGGCGTAGGGACGAGGTATCCTAACTGTTGCCATGACCGACATTCATAAATATTACTTATGTTTGAGTTTATCCAATTTTATCTGAAATTAAGGAGTTGGTTTAAAATGGCGTCTCTTAGTAGGAATTCTAGGAATTTTTAAAATAGAAGAATTTCACTATGGGTGTAACTAAAGTAGCGTACTCTACTTTATAAAGCTAAATAAATTTTTTTTTTTATTTAGAACAATTATTTTTAAGATTTTAATAAGCTTTAGGTTGCAAATATTACATCTATAAATAATGTTGCGCAAAAGGGAGAAAGAAGAGGTCAAGACAAAAAGGGGAAATAGAGACAAGAAGGAGTACTATACAAGAACGGAGGGGTCATAAATAGAAAAAGGGGGAGGGATCGTAAATAGACTTTTAAGACGACTGCTAACGCTATTTATATGTAATAAATAATTATTGTTGAGATACATTTAGTAACTACTAAAACTACATAGAATAACTCTATAGTATAACTATATATATACAAGTTTATATAAAAGTTAACACTTTTTAAGTTAGTTATTTTCAAACTTAGTTTTTTTATCTATAGTAAACTCAAACATAAGTAAAACTTAGTATATATCTATAGTAAATATAGCTTATTTTAAAGTTATTGTTACTTTTATTTTTATTTGTAATAAAGCCTTTACTTTCTTCTTCAAAAGTTTTCGTTTCTTTTTTTCTTTTTCCAAAATTTAGAAGTGATGAGTGAATTATAGTGAAAAATTAGCGACCAATAATGATCAAATGTTCATTTATTCAAAAGTTAAATTTGTGTAATTACTACATTATTTCACTATAATACTTAATTTTTATTTATTAATTAAATTACTCAAAACAAATAATTGTGTATCCGGATGTATCCGGTCAGAGATATGATAAATCTGGATATATGATACCGGATTATCTGGCATTTTCGACGGATTATCCGCCCTGATATCATATCCGGTACACCTCTACAAATTAATAGAAGCGGAACTTTGATTTAATATAAGAAACAGTGCAACGCTAGAAGAAAAAAAGCATATTAAAACAGCTGCATTTACGTTATTTGGTAAAGATGAACACGTACAACATATTGTAAAATTATGCTCATAAATCATTAGGCGTCTTGAAGAGATGGCATCACTCTTTGGTCCGAACTAAGTCTTTTTCCTCAGTCAGGAAGGCCAAGATATTTTAATTTTTTAATCTTTTAAGTTTATTATATAAATGATGGCGACGATAGGACTAGGTCTTATACGAGCCATCGCGTTTTTTTATCTATTAATAACGATGGTGTAAATTTTTATTACATTTTTGTAATTTACATTTTATAACGAAATGGTTTTTTAAAATGTAATAATAAAAGAAAAAGAAAAAGAAAAAAAAAATTATTTTTGAAAATTGAATGCAGTTTAATTAATTATAAAAATTTGAGAATAATATAAATAATAATGAAAGTTAAATTCTTGGGTAATATAGATAAAGCAAAGTTAACTGCTGTGTAATTTCACCAAGTAAATTTCTAAATCTGATGTTATATAAGGTTAAAAACCGTTTTGGGCTAATAAACTAAAAGATTATAGATATAGGTAATAGATAGACACTAAAAAACACTGTATAAAGAATAAAAAATGAAATAAATAAATAAATTTGAATAATTGGGAAAGCTTCTACATTTTTTTTGTCTTTCGTCTTCTAGCGTCTTTATTATCTTGGCGATCGGGACATGTATGCCCCTTTGTCCTTCCGTCTCGGCGTCCCTGAATGGTAATCTCCTTTGATATTGTATGAAGATAAAACACTAAGTAATGCCCTGTAAAACAAGTTAAAGTGAGTTACACTCACGTGTAAAAAACTGCTTTAAAATTTTCACTATAACACAAAAAAAGAATATATTACCGAAAACTGTTGCGTAAGCTTTATGTTATGATATGTGAGCTTATGGTGAAAATTTAGGTTTCTAAAATATATCATTTATATTAAAACTCTAACTTTGGTTTCCCCCATAGATTTTGCATATTACACTTGAAAAATATTATTAATAAAAAGCAACTTGCTGCTATCATATTTTTTTGCCAATATGTATATTTTTAAACTCAAATTTTTTTAAAGGGTGATAATTGACGCTAAGTATAAGACTTAAAATTTTATCAAAGACTTACCTTTTATAATGTGTATTTTTGTTAAAATATTAACAAACACAAAACATCGAATGGTATGTTTTGAAAATTTATCTTTAAGTTTTTTTAATTTTTTTCTGATTGAGTCTCCTGAGTAACGGTACGGAACATTTGCATTTGAATTTATAAATTCACACTTGTGTAGTGTACACACCATAAGCTTACATATCATAACATAAAGTTTACATAAAACTTCTATATATATATTAACATAAAGCATACATATCATAACAACAATTGTATAAAACGCTGATTTTAAAAATTTTAAATAAAATCAACATATTACACTTTATAATACAGGGTAATATGTTGATCTATTTTTGTTATAAATTTTATTACAAAAAAAGAAAAAGTAGTTATTTACATTCCATAAATTTATAAAAAAATATTAAATAAAGCAATGAATTAAACCTATTAACTCCAATAGTTTTTACTATTTACTTTTTTTAATCTTTCATTCATTGCTAATCTTAAGATTAACTAACCTTTTTATAACCTCTGATTTAATAACATAAAATATGTCTAGTATAACTGAATTGGTATGTCTATGATAGTTTCGCATTTATCTTTTTTTATTTTTATTATGTATTTTTGATTTTTGCTTTTTAACTAAAACTTCACTCGATCTTCGATTCGATAGTACAAATGCACATTTTTCATATTGGCAGAAAACATAAAGAAATTACTTCATAAATCAACTTCATGTAAAGAACCATAATAAACTCTCTCTACAGCTATTTGTACGTTGCCACAAATTTATGGCATAAAAATTAGGCACATAAACAACGGTATAATAAGGGGTGACAAAAACCTCAATATCTCCCATAAGCTTAATTTTTAAGACGCGGACCCTCGCACTTTGTTTCCTTACCCATGACACTTAATTATTAGACTAGAACCTAGATCCAGATTAGATTTACGGATTGTCAATTTAGTTCTACACTATTTAAGTACTATTTAACTTTCCCTAGTCAAATAAATTGTCTGACCTGACAAGTTTAGTGTAATCGCTTACGTAACGTTTTCTGGCAAAGTAATAGAATTCGTAAACTTTGAAAAGCCTGAAATAAAAAGTTGGTCGCCGCAAATGCAACGCCAATCTAAGAAAACATTTTTTTGATGAGCAGCTAATCATAAGACATTGCAACGCCAGCCGTAAAACTTCGTAAGCCCGACTTGCGCCTATTATTTATAATCATGAGTGTGCCAACGTACTGCCAACAACGTTAAATAAAAATATATACGACGCCAACGCAGACACGATAGATAGCCGGTCATATGCCAATATAGGGCCAACTTAAATGTTTTGTCGACCTAACAATAACAAATACGTTAAGGCAACGCTGTGAAAACTAAATTGTACTAACTAGGGTAGTACAGCCAGATAGAAAACATAAACAGCAAAATGCAAAGGAACTTGTTTATATAATTATTACGTTTACTTCGTTAAACTGAAAAAATTAAACAATAAAATTACTATTATAATAACATAAAAAGTTATTTTTATATTATGTTTTTATACTATTATGTTTTTATACTATTATGTTTGTATTGTTTATTTCAGCGCTGTTGAACCAAATCATTTGATATTGAAGTAAACAAAACTTAATATTATATCTTAACAAAATATTAATTAAAAATCATATTCACGAAAATAATAACGAACACGTCTTAATAAAAATATTATTGCTAATAAATTTGTCTGTACTAGATATCCCGAAATTATACAAAAACGCGTACGCGTTCACGAAATTATACAAAAACGACCGAACACCTTGAGTCAAAGACTCTTTCAATTCACATCCGAAATCAGATAAAACAAAAAAATATTTTCTAATGCATTTTGACAAAATACATTTATTTATTGCATTAAATTACTATTTCGTCTAATCTTAAAATTAAATTCTCGCGCTTTATTACAGTAATCTCGTTAGCAACATCGTAATTAATCAAAAAGTCTGATAAAATCTTGTCTTTGATGAAATATAGAGACACACCTTAACAGCAATATTTCTCTCATAGAGTCGCTACTTTGTTTAAGAATTTGACAAATTTTTGTTTATTTACCTCAAATTCTGTTGTATATTATTGAATTAAACAATAATTTTATGATAAAAAAGTTAAGCCTCTTAGCACAACCCCCTCTTACTCCCTCCCCCTTCCCCCATCCTCACCCATGGGGTACGCTACCAAAAAATAGTTTTAAGAAAATTTGAAAATGAAATTCTAACGGTGGTCTATAACTTTCGTAAATTGTAGATTATGACGTTTTTGATTTGCTACCAACAATTTTCGATTTTTATATTTACACTTTTATTAATTAAAACATGTACTACTAATTTTCCAACTTACTAACTCGTTGACCTATTGTATTTTTGACCAACTGGATTTTCAATGCTGACTATTCAACCTACCGTGTTTTCAATTTTATAACTACGTCTTTCCGTTATGTATTTTGTATATTTTGTTCTTGATTTTAAACAAGCAAATTTGATCCGCCTTGGCGCAGCGGTTGAAGTGCTGTCTCAAGTATCGGTGGGGTATAAGGTTCGATGAATTCTTGGAAAACTTATGATTTTTAATTTAATAACAAAAAAAAAATGTGTAGTTTAAAAAAAAACAACTTAAAAACAGAGACCAGAGAATCGGTTGAAAATTAATTTATCTTAATTCGGTCGAAAATAAAAATCTATAAAATATATGAAAAAAAAATCGGTCGAAATCGAAAACGTCATAAATCGGTTGAAAATAAAAAACTTTAATCAATTGAAAACAATTTAGGCCTCAGAAAATTAGTTCCACTTTTTAGTAGATGTTGATTTTGTAGAACAACTTAGTAGATCGAGATTTTTGTAGGTCTAACTATTTGACACGATTCTTAATAACTTAAAAAGTATAACGTTTCACATTTAAAATTTTAAATGTGAAACGTTATACTTTTTAAATCAATGATAAAATAACTTTTTTGTCAAAAAAAAAAAAAAAAAAAAAAAAAAAAAAAAAACCTCAAATTTTCTATTCTACAAAGAATTTTTTTACATTTATGTTATGTTAATTTTTTGCAATATAATATATATAACATCAGGAAATTTTTGCTATTAATAAATTTTTTTTCTAGATAATCGTATTATCGTAAAAAAACCACGCCTCCATATCTGTAAACAATATGTCCATTACAAGTGTTAATAAGTTATAATATATTCATCAAAACTAATTTATTAGACTTCATTTACAGACAGGAGGCGGAGTATTTTACCACAATCTAGATTTTTTAGATAGTTTCATTTTAAATATATGATTATATTCTGTTGCAGTTAAATTTATTAAATATAAGCATGTTTATAAACGATATAGTTTGCTTATACTAATATACTAGTATTTCCACGAAGTTAGCAAATGGTTTATTTGCGGTCTAATAAAAATAACTTCAATCAAGTTAAATTAAAGTGGCCATTTATATGCATAACCTTTATACACAAATAATAAAATTTACGGAAAAAATGTTTGCACAGTTGTATTCTAAAAAAAAATGTAGATAATATTTATTTTAAAAAAGTGTGAATAATTCCGACTGTGACTAAGGGTTATGATTTACTTTAAATAAAAAACTAGAGTTTTATTTTTAGCAGAAATTATTAAACACATGCATGCACACACACACACACACACACACACACACACACACACACACACACACACACACACACACACACACACACACACACACACACACACACACACACACACACACATACACACACTCACAAACACACACACGCACATAGAAATATGTGTATATATATATATTTATTTATTTATATATATATATATATATATATATATATATATATATATATATATATTTTATATATATATATATATATATATATATATATATATATATATATATATATATATATATACATGTATATATATATATATATATATATATATATATATATATATATATATAATATATATATATATATATATATATATATATATATATATATATATATATATATATATATATATATATATATATAGACACAGATGTATATAGATACAGATGTATATATATATATATATATATATATATATATATATATATATATATATATATATATATATATATATATATATATATATATATATATGTATATATATATATATATATATATATATATATATATATATATATATATATATATATATATATATATATATATACTAATAGTAAAAAATAAGTATTGGAATGGCTAAATCAATTAAACTTATTCATTGGAGACGTTGTGAACTCCTCTCGCTGACTGATTTTTATCCTAATATGCTTAAAAGAAAAATGCATGATGTGAATATGGTTAAAACAGAATGCAAAGGAGAGCCTTCGATTGATTTTAGTAATTTTGAGCAAGCATTTCGTGCAAAAACTACTGGGGAAATAATAAAAGCCATAATAGTTTACAAGTTATGTTCAATAGACTTTTTGGTCAACAGAAATAAAGAGGTATGTTTTTTTTTTTACTTTTAAGGGTTTTTATTTACTAATTAGATTATACAACTTTCTGTTATTGGCAAACTAAGTTTTATGTTTTTATATGAATTCTGAAAATATATTTGATTGTGTCTATTTGTAAGCATTTTACAGAGATCTTTTCCACATAGTAACATTATGTTTAACTTTTTCTGTTTATGCAAAATATACCAAAGTAGCTAAAATTTTGAACAATCAAATATATATTTGAAATTTAATGCATAATCAGTTTTCAACAGTTCTGTCTATAATAATATATCATCAAATAAATTTCTAACAGACCACATTGCGTGGCCCATATAAAAGCAGTTTGCTATGAAAATCATTTTTTTTGAAAACAAAAAACAAGGTTATATCTAGTTAATATACTATTAATTTAATTTTTAAAAGCTAACTAATAATCTATTAGACTTAATATCATCAGCATTTTTATATATGTTTTATTTTTTTTTAAATTTAAGGTATGTGTAATAAACACATTTTCTATAAAAACTTGTTTTTTTTTTATTAACTTTTTCTCATCACATGTTTATAAATAGTTTTGTTTATTTAATTTGGTTTATTTAATTTTACTTTTAATTTAGCTTATGTCTATTTCTCGGAAAATCTTTGGTAAAAAAGGTTTTGATTACATAATGAAAAGTTCTTTCTACGGTCATTTTGTTGCAGGGGAATCACAAGAAGATATTAAGTCAAAATTGGAACTTATGAAAAAGTTTGGAGTTGGTGCAATTCTTGATTATGCTGTTGAATCTGATATTCCACAAAAAGAACCAACGTAAGTTTGCACTGTTTTACACTGAGTTTTTAAAATATTAAATTTTATCATTTTTTTTTTAAATTTAAAAGATTTTTTTTTTAATTGACTGATTATAATTTGCCTTATGCAAGATGTATTAATTTTTAATAATGTATATTAGGCTAATTATAATAAAAATCTTATCAAATCTTATTAAAATCTATTAAAACTATTATAAAACTAATAATCTATTAGGAATTTTATTTTAAATTTTACAAGTTAACTCACAAGTTAAATCAAGCCAAGATAAAAACAGACTTTTTGTTTTGTTATAAATGTTTTTTTATTAAATAATCTTTTTTTTGAGTTGTTGAAGCTGATTTTTATTATAAGATAACCCATGTGTTTTCTTATTTTGTTAAATATATATATATATATATATATATATATATATATATATATATATATATATATATATATATATATATGTATATATATATATGCATATATATATATATATATATATATATATATATATATATATATATATATATATATATATATATATATATATATATATATATATATATATATATATATGTATATATATTAACAAAAAATGATATAAAAAAAAAAAGTTAAGTATAGAAGCATGAAAAGAAATTCAACCAATAATGGTCCACTAAATGGAACCACTTAACAGTGAATGAGGAAATAATAAGCATGTTTACAACTAAATTATTTCTTTCTATGAGCAATAAAATCACTACAAAAAAAATTTGAAATTTTTATCAGAGTAATGAGATAGTGAAGTATACTGGTATAATTTCAGACTTGCTTTTCAGACAACCTAAATCATTTACCTTCTCTACTCGATTTATTTCTTGTTTCTGATCCTAGTCAGTGCTCAGTTTCTCCACATTCATTTTTAGGTGCATCTGATCACAGTTTGGTCTATCTAAAACTATTATCTCATTCTTCTTCATCATCTTAATCCCTGTATCATTGTTCCTCTTACAACTACCCTAAAGCTGACTGGGACTCTCTCATTGATTGATTTTGTGATGGCCCTTGGGTTGAATTCTTTTGTCTTCCTCCTGACAAATGTGCTTCTTACATAACTTTGTGGATTCAGGCTGGCGTGGAATCTTTTATTCCCTTTCAACGATTGCAGGTCAAGTCTCACTCTTCTCCATGGTTTTCCTCACATTGTGCTGCTGCAATTGCCAATCAAAACCGTTACTTCCATATCTATCAGCAAAACAATTCTCCAGAAAACAGACGTCTGTTTATTACTGCTAGGAACCATTGTAAAAAGGTTTTGTCTAATGCCGAAGCCGGCTATTCTCAGCTCATGAAATCTCCTATTTCATCACAAAAACTTGGCTCTTATAATTTCTGGAGAATCTTTAATAGTATCAATAATATAGGCAAATCTGTAATTCCACCTCTCTTGTATGGTTTAGACTGTGTCACTTTTCATCAATATCATCTCTTGATTCCACTAGTTGAGTATGACATAATTACAACCTAATCACATGAGTGTGACATAAAATTGACCTCTAACTAGTTTTTATAATATTAAAATTATTTAAAAAGTTTAAAATAAGTTTGATCTTAAATGCTTTTATATTATCGAAAAGCTTTTTAATGAAGTAACAAAACACTTCTAATGAATTTTCATAATAAGTATTAAAAACTGTTATTATTTTTTACTTGTATAATTATGTATTTTTTATGATGTTTATCTTTAGACATATTAAAAAATGTTTATCTTTAGACATATTAAAAAACAAAGTACTAATGTTAAAACAAAGAATGAAATGGTTTTTTAATGCATAAATTAAATAGACTAAGCATTTTAGTTTGATTTTTTTTTGTGTATGTGTGTTTTTGGTTTAGTTAAGTATTTTTTTTAATTTTATCTTTCGTTAAGATTATTTTTTCTTTTTTTAATTTTTTTTTAGATTGTAGAAAGTAAGTTTTTGTAACGCATTTTTAAATTTGGAAAATATGTCAAAAGCTGTGATCAAATCCTTTAAACAAATTATATTTTGCCTGGTCAAATAAATGTGTGTAATCGCAAGTCTTCCTGTGCAAGACTATATATATATATATATATATATATATATATATATATATATATATATATATATATATATATATATATATATATATATATATATATATATATATATTAATATATAAAAATAAAGAAAACAACTTTATATATATATTATTATTTTTATTTTTATTTTTATAAATTAATATAATGCTCTATTAAATAATATAAATAAATCCTATTTATTTATTATTGAGCACTCTTATACGTACAAGAGTTTTTTGTATTTTATTGCAAATACAAAATATCATACAATATATATATATATATATATATATATATATATATATATATATATATATATATATATATATATATATATATATATATATATAAATTAGTAGAAAATCAATTAAAATCAATTATATATATATATATATGTATATATATGTATATATATATATATATATATATATATATATATATATATATATATATATATATATTTATATATATATATATATTTATGTATATATATATATATATATATATATATATATATATATATATATATATATATATATATATATATATATATATATATATACATATATATATATATATATATATATTTCATTTTACACACAGTGTAAAATGAAAAAAAATTTTTGTAAAGTGATTTTTGTTGCCCAAATTTTATTTCCTAGAATACCCCCTCGTTCCGGCAAACTTTAGCGAAAAATCCTGGTTTCCAACAATTTTATAGAGGGCAGGGTTTCCAACAATTTTACATAACAGCATTCTGAAAAACTTAGATAAATTGGATACTGATACATAATGATTGAGGAAATATGTTGATGAAAAGAGAAATTCATCTATGTTTCAGTGCCAACTTGATTTGTTCAATAAAGTTTTTGACATTTGTCCTTGCAAATGTGTTAACTGTGGTATTAGGGACCGGTCAAATTGCCATCGTTTCATTAAATTTTTTTTTAACGAATGGGAAGTTTGGTTCGATCAAAAGAGTATTCTTAAAATTTACATTTGCCAGATTGGCCAAGAAGAAACAGAAAAAGCAGAAAATTCATTTAGAGTGAGAAATTTTGAAAAATAAATGCAGAAACCTGCCAAGCTTCATCATTAACAATAACTCTTTCCTGAGAGAGCGATAAAGAAAGCAGTTGTTGTGATGATAATAAGGAATATGATGAAACTGATTCAGAATACAATTCACATAGTGAAAATGATCCCAAATATCACGATGCATTTCAGTACAAAGAACTCTGTCAAATAATGGAATGTACATGACTTAGCAACCGAGGCGGATGCAAAATCATTAACGGTTACTTTAAGGATATATCATTCAGTTCAACACAATACATATTAGATCCAGCAAAATTAAGAATACAAGAAAACCTGAGTAAACAAAAAGATGTCAAAGAACATGCAGAATCAGTCAAAAAAATTTTTGGAATTGGTTTTAGTGGCCGCATAGATAAAACCCTAAGTTTAGTCGATTAAGGCAATGGTAAAGTTAACAGGGACACTTCCATCAAAAAAGATCATTATGTTATCTGCTCATATACCAATAGCGCTTACTTTGATCACATTTGTCCACAAAGTGGTAAAGCAGTTGATGTTGCGAATGAAATCATTTCAGTTTTAAATAACAGAAATTCTCTTGTGAATTTACAAAGTGTTGCTTATCATTCTTTTATTTGAAACTCGTATAGGCAAACCTCTTCAATGGTGTATTTGTTTGCTTCATTTGAAGGAGCACTTTCACTGCACTTGATGGCAGTACATCTGGTCCTACTGTATTCAAAGGCATTCTTGGTGAACAACAAAGAAATATTTCACAAAAACTCCTCCAAAAAATTTCAATCATGTCAGGTGGCTCACATTAGCCAATCCCCTGCTTTGCTTTATACATATTGATCGTAAAACCCATGACATGTCTAACAAAAATTGTTGATTACATCATCAAAGTTTACTGTTTCTGTTGGTTTTTAATCAAGAAATATTGGAAATGCGTTGGAGCATGGAATTTTTCCATGATTATGAAATGTATTCATAGTCCTAATCATCCTGATACAATAGCAATTGCTCAGAAAGTATTGCAAAAGAACTGTTATTTTGCTCATCCTGAAAATGTTTTGTTGTCAGCCATCAAAGATAAAGACAAGAAAAAAGCGGTCGATACAGCAAAGTAAGTTATTGCATGTAGAAGAGAAGAGAATACTGATTGGGTATGTATTTTCTCTCTACAAAAGATTTCTCTCAATTTCTATGTTTTCTCATATTTATAAATGATCAACTGGTCAAATGTTAATATCTCTCCTCTTCCAATTTTATCTGAAGTGAACAATGAAGACTTCTTAATTAATGTTACAAATGGCACTCTTCAAGTTCCTATCTCATGCCATTTTCAAAATGTTAAATGTCTGATCAAAGAAGTATCTAGAGTTTCGGAGATTGTCACAACCTATTAAAAACGTTGTGGAATGCTTGTTTCTGCTTCAAACTCAAAACTTAAATATCCGAAATTCAACAGTAAAAAGGACTTAAAATAATGGTTTTACATTTTCACATTCTTTTTTAGTATACAAATGTAGCTTCAGGTAATATTTAGGCGAATAACAGTGGATCTCATACCTATATAATATAAACAAAAGTTGCCCCCTTTAAACTAAATTTAAAAAGGCTAATTTTTTTCAGGTAGTCATATTATATGATGTAGCAACTTTTCCCACTAATAATGATGCAAAAATTAGAAAAATTTAAAATATGACCTACCCTAATGTATGTACTGAAGACCCTGGCAGCATGCTGTTTCAGTGTAATGTCGTAATTCTTATCTAAGTATATATATATATATATATATATATATATATATATATATATATATATATATATATATATATATATATATATATATATATGTATATGTATATATGTATATATATATATATCCATC